TTGTCTTTCTGGTAAACTGAAGAGCCTTTGTTCCTAGGTAAGAGTTTCAAAACTCATCCTTCAGCAACCACCTGAGAACCCACAGAGGCCTCAGTGCACACTGAGAAGGGTACAATTTGATATTTTTATGATATAAAATAAGCCAAAGCTTGCTTCTAAGAGTATTCCTTATTCTTGTAGATAATTCATAGAGAAACCAATGTTATGGCACTTACACAAAAGGCATCCTAAGTCTGTATAGCAGAATATTAGTTGTTTAGTGTCAACATCTCTAGAAAAGATATAAAGAAAAAAGTCCAGCTTTATCCATCAGCACAAAAGTCTGTAAATATTAAATCCAGCAATTTTGGAAACAAATTCTTCCTTGACAAATCTGATCTCATACTTTTTCTAAAGCCTTGGAGGTCTTCTAGCTCTGCCTAAAGGATTTTTCAATGGAACTATGCTTTATTTTCATTAAAAGCATATAAATGCCTGTGGAATGTTAGTGTGCAGCAACAAACAAGTTACAGTAGACACCAGTGTATATATAAAGCAATCCTTGCTCTCAGAATCGCAGCCTGAGAAACAAACCCCTCTGACAGGGCTATATGCCAATTGCTGTGTGTGTGCATGGGCAGGTTGCAGCGGGGTAAAAAAAAAAAGATCTGGAGGACTAGGACAAGAGTATATCGCCTTGGCAGTGTCCTGTTCTGACCTTTCTTTGTAATGAAGCTTACCTAAATGGGATCGAAGGTGGTTTAGTTTTCCCTCCCGGTGGAGATGGCCGGTCGCTGCTGGCGGCTCCGGGCAGTGTCCCGGCACACCCTCCCGGGGGCCTCGCACGGCAACCAGCCTAGCACACACCCAAGAGCTCGTATTTTGTCCAAGTATTTTCATTTCTCGTCTCCCACAGCACTAACCAAGCTTCAACCACGCTCAAATACTTGCATTATCTATAGAAAGCTATTCCATTACTGAAAGACCATCCCAAAAATACGCTGCTTGCTTTTCTCACTTATAACTCCAGAAAGTCACTGCTTTCCATCAGCTGATCAAACAGTGCCACTGCTCCTCCTTGTTTTCTTTTGCCAAAGATAAAAGCTTGACCTCAGTGAAGTAGTGTCCCCGTATTTTCCTTCCAGAAACCTTCACTTTGTCTGTAACTGGAGTGCCATGAGGATGCACCACAATGGAGCTAAGATTGAACAAGAACAAACTTTTAAAGACGAGGTTTAAACACTGGAAAAGTTGAGAGAGCTTGACACAAGTAGAACATCAGCTATTTTCTAAGCATTATTGTCCTCACAGTGTGTCATGATCAAAAGGAACTATTCAAAGACAATGGTGTTCCTGTGCAAGGCACTTGCCAGGATTCAGGGGTCAAACTAGAAATAGAACTGATCCATACTACAGATGAGTTTCCTTCCTTGTGTGGGAAAACAAAATGCCAAAAAAGTGAGGCCAGGTCTTATAAGTCAACTATTAAATCTTGCTTAGATTTAGGATCTAAGCTTATTCTCTGGGAAAAAAGAACCCAAAAAACTTTGTGTTAAATATCATAAGTCTTCACTGTAGAGAAGGGATTGATACTAAACTAGGTTGTCCCATTTCAGATAGTTTTGGAAAATAAATTTACTCAAATTTTTGAAAAGAATAATGGCAAACCAGTGAAATTATTGAAATAAACTGTTAACATGTTGTTTCATCACTTGTTTTTTACCAATGAAATCAGAAAGAAGCACAATGTATTTGAAGCTATGACATTTTATATTGATAGGGAGAAGAATGAATTCTACCAATCAGAAATTTCACAGAGTTGTCATATGGCTGAAGAGTTTTCTTCCACTTTCCACACATTTGAATCGATAAATAAATCATACATGCAATAATCAAGTAATTGAGCATCCTTCCAATCCTGCATTTACCTTGCAAATGAGTAAGTGTTGTAAGGCCACTGGATGATCTAATGATAAGCAATCAAACTGTCATTCAAGGCAACACGACAGCATGTGAATTTCACTGCAGGCGAGTGCAAGGTTATGCACAATGGAAGGAACAATCCAGCTAAACAGGCACATGCTGATGGGTTCTAAAATTAACTGAGACTATTCAGAAAACACCAGTTGAGGGTCAAGATGAACAGCTGCCTGAGAACATCTGTTAAAAATGGAAAGAATCCAAACAAAAATGTTAGGACAAAGAATGAATACCCCCATAGTTTGTGCATAGTTTGTGTTAGATGACTTTCACCTTCATATTTAGTGTCTCCAGTTATATGACTTCTGTAAAATGAGAAACTTGCACCTATATCAGGTAAGAATCTTCATAGCTGTGCTCTTCCATAGTGCTTACAGAGCTCAATCCAGATATGTGGACTGCAAATAGCAGAAAACAAGATATCTGGAGGACAAAGGGACTCAACATACAGAATTCTACCTGTGAGGAGATACTAGGTGATAATGCATTTATTTTTATTTAGAATTATCTGACCATCACCTGGATTTTATATTCATTATACTAGAATAAAAAGAGGGAAGAAAGATGATGACAATACCAAGCATGAGCTAATGAAAAGGAAAGCTATGTTCTCAGACAGAAGATGAAAACAAAAAGTTGAAGCAATGGAAGAGTTTAATGATTTGTAAACCAGAATCACTGACACTTTCAGGTTAGAAAGAACAAAATACCATTCTTTCCTCATTAAGGACAAGAATATAGGGGTACATCTGCAGTTTCAGTTGGAAAAACTACAGAAACAACTCAGCATGAGGATCTGATCCTACAAGTCAGGATCTACAGAACTGAACTCTGTATTAGTCTTTTGAAGAGATATTTCACACTCAGTTGACTGGAGAACAGTAGAGAAAACTGTATCAGTTTGTTGCCAATAAATTATCTCACAGCAATGTTGTCCACATTTAAGCTATAGTCACAGAGAACAGGAAAACTGCTTCTACTAAAGAAAATACTAATGTCCATTTTTACCCTGATTTGCATTTTAAAAGGTATCACATTTGTTATTAAAGATAAACTGCAACAGGTATTTAAAATAATTATTTTCTTTCAACAATAACAACTTCAATCTCATGTTTGTACCAATGAGTCAATCTGATTTCTTTTTATAATTCAGTCAAACAAAGGACAATAGAGAGCAAGAGTCCAAGAAAAAGGAAAATAACACTTCTAACTATTAAATCATGGAATCCTGTTTGAAGTACAGTTACAGCTGTGCTATCAAAAGCAGTAAGCACTTAACTGGCAGTATGAGCAAACTATCACTGCCTCTACAAACTGGTTGCTACTGACAAACCAGTATGGCTTGGAGGAAGGGTTAAAAACAAGTCTCAGACTGGATGCTGACAGAGAGCTTCCAAAAAATTTTTGTGGTCAGGCCAAAACCAAAGCTCAAAAGGCAATCTTGGAAACAAGATAATCTTCCAATAATGCACTATGTATGTGCAAAACAGATTGATATGGTACTTGTAAAACAGAAATAGAATAGGATCATAGATACGATGGATGAAATAGACCAAAATGTAATAATCAAAGTAATCCAATAATTCAAGTTTAAAAAAAAAAAATCATGGAATTTTTTAGGTTGGAAAAGACCTTTGAGATTATCGAGTCCAACCATCACCCTAACACTGCCATGTTCACCACTAAACCACATCCTCAGGTGCCACACCTACAATCTCATACCTCCAGGGATGGTGACTCAGCCTGTTCCAATGCCTGACAACCCTTTTGATGAAGGAATGTTTCCTAATAGCCAGTCTAAACCTGCCCTGGTGCAACTTCAATTCCTCTGGTCTTATCACTTGTTACCTGGAAGAAAAGATTGATCCCTGCCTTGCTACAATCTCCTTTCAGGTAGTTGTAGAGAGCGGTAAGGTCTCCCCTGAGCCTCCTTCTCTCCAAGCTGAACACCCTCAGCCAGTCCTAATCAGAACTGTGCTTCAGATCCTGCAACAGCTTCCTTGTCCTTCTCTGGACACGCTCTAGTGCCTTGGTATCTTTCTTGTAGTGAAGGGTCCAAAACTGGACACAGTACTCAAGGTGCCTGACCAGTGACAGGTACAGAGGGACAATCACTGCCCTAGTGCTGCTGGACACTGTTTCTGATACAAGCCAGGATGGCACTGGCCTTCTTGTCCCCCTGGGCACACTGCTGCATGGTTGGCAGTAATTCAAGAAAATAAAAGAAAGCTTCATAAGCAAGAATTAAATGATCACTTACTGGGATTGTCTTGCTTCATCCATGTCAAGAGCAGGTCATTGTCAAAGTAATTTCAGCTCTTTCTGAAAAATGACCAATACTAGTCTTCAAACAGTGCAACATCCTATGAAATATGATGCCTGTGACTTAAAGAAATTCTACTGAAATCATTTCAAATGTTTACTCAGTCACTGATTTTAAGTTGAAAATAGCTGTTCTAGTTGAGTAGAACTGGATGGTCAGAATAAAATGTCAAATGTCAGAGTAGTTCACTTCTAATAGCAGATTATAATCATTTATGGATATTATAATCCCCAAAGAATATCATTCTTATAAATTACTTAATTTAGAAGAATAAATAGGAAACAGTTATAACCACACCGGTAATGAAAAACATCATTTTTCCACATATTGCAAATTCCTTAATTTTGTCCCTTCACAGAATCTTTTTTAAATTTTTTTTTAAGAATTTAAGGATATAAAAATATCAATGTATACTCGGGTTTTTTCCACTCGAAGTTGTGGTAGGTATATTGGCTGTCTGAAAAAAGAAACTTACACCATTCAACATGGGCATAGCTCTTACTGCACAATAAGTAAGTTATGAACACTTCAAAGACAACATTCCTAATAACAAACAAAAAGAGAAGTTTCACACACAGGCTTGCTTAAACTTCTCAACTTTAATGGAGTCAGAACAATTCTATACAAGTATATACAGATTTTAAAGCATGAGTAAATATCTGTTACTTCCTACATACAATCAACTGAAATAATGCAACAGAAATAAGTTCTAACTAGGTTATTTTGCTATTCTTGATCGCAGCTGTCGCTTGATGATTAGATGATCACTTTCCTTCTCTTTTGGTTCCATAAGGATCTGAAAAAGAGTAGTAAAAGGCAGATACTCAGCATTTCTTCAGAGACAAATGACATACACTTCTAGATCTGTGACCAACAGCATGGCTTGTCCCAGAATCTGTTTTCAGAATGAAATTTACTTATTGACTAAAAGGGTGGTCAGTCATTGGAATAGGCTCCCCAGGGACGTGGTGGAATCACCATTGCTGGAAATGTTCAAGAAATGTGTGGATGTGGCATTTGGAGATATGGTTTGGTGGTGAACAGAGTGATGCTGGGTTAACAGCTGGACTCAATGATCTTGGATGTCTTTTCCAACCTTAATGATTCTATGATTCTACTACCTTTGAGTCAGAGGTCTCCAGGATACAGAGATCATTTTATTGCATCATAATAAGAACAAATACTGACAACATACAAAATCTCATTTTTGCTGGAACAAACACCAAAATCCAAAGAAAAACGTGATCCAAAAGCAGCTCTTCTAAAATCTACTACTCATTTTGTGCTACAGGAAGTATATAGAACACATATTTTTAGCTTATGTTTCTACAGTTTTTTCTGACTTTCCTATGATTCAGTCTTTCACTTCCAACCTTCTTAGCTCTTTTTGCTCTGCATTTCTCTCATTTTCTTCTTTCTCCTCTGGACAGCATTTTGGTTTCTGCCACATCCATTCATATAATTTATAGAAAATTCAATAGAACCTCTTAGTATGGGCAAATGCTTACCAAAGCAAAGGGAAGAAAGGATTGAACAGAACAAAGAGATGCACTTCCAACAAAGCAAGAGAATTCTCAGCACTACAGTTACTGTCAAAACCATAAAGCTGGATTTCAGAAACAATACATCAAGCCCTGGACTGTAAGACTCTTTATAGACTGGCTTAGACAGGGCAACACAATTTTAACATATCCAGAAAGCTATCTACACTGTGCTTTGTAAAGGATGGATGCATCCACATCCTATTATGCCGAAATATCAGTTGAGCACAAATGGAATTATAAAACACCTTAGATGCTCAGTCACCCTGCACAGCTAATTGTACATGCAGACCTTTATCTTTAGTATTTCAAACATGTTATTCCAAATCTATGGATCCCTTAATGGTCTATTTCTATTCTCCCTTTATGCTACACTTGCATGAACTGCAACTATGGGAAGAACAAATTAAGACTTAACTGCTGTAACTAGAGGAAAAAGCAAATCTTTCACCTACCACAAGTAAGATATTTGTCAATCCAAATGTAAGATATCTCCAGAACTACTGTATCACATCTACAGTAAATCAGCAGCCAAACAGAGAAGACAGGTGTAAAACCAGAGAAAATTAATTAAAACAGCAGAAAGAAAAGGCCAAAAGAAATGGTTAGGTAGAACCAAGAAATAAGTTGGTATTTTCAAACCTCTTCTGCAACTTGACTAGACCTTCAGGTTTGTTTTGTCCCCCTAATAGGTTATTTTAAGCTAAGATTACAGAAAAGCATTACAGTGGGCAGAAGAGCAACCTGTAATCACTTACTGAAGTAACAGGGATATCTAGGGGGCAAGAAATGTCAGTTGAGTACAGCTTCCTCTTAGCTCGTTTTGGCTTGAGCTCGTTTTCTTTGACCCTTTCCGGTTCTGCAGACTTGGGAGAGCTTATTGTCTCAATCAGCTTCTTTGCTAGAAGACAGATTTTATCATAAATACATGTCTTATATGTTTTGTGAGCCTCAAAATTCACTAATAAAGCAAGTTTTAATTAAAACAGTTTAAAATGAAACGGATGTAGTCTGAAGTTTAAATATAAAAATTCAGAAGTGGTACTTGACTACCACAGTTTTCTATAGCTGGAAGCAGTTTTCTGTAGCTTCAACTGCAAAAGCTTAAAGGACACTTTTAAATAGCACATTAAAAATCAATCACGATTCAGATCTCACTGGAAGTTAAACACTTTGGAGTTAACTTAGGCTTAACTTCTTTGTGCTGACAGCAGCTCAGTGCAGAGTCAATTTTCTCTATATATTTGTATAATTTTATCAAACTAAGACTAAATCTATAAAGAGATGAGTGTATGCACTAGAAGGAAATAAGAAATCCTGAATAGTACTGTTATACAAAGAGGAAAAAAACAGAGGATATGATAATAAAGGTTACAAAGCACAACTCATTTGCTCAAATTAAGTATTTTAAGGATGAACGTTTGAGTAGTCTGAATTTGGTTTCCTTTGATAGTGAATCTTGTCCTCATGCAAACAATATGACAAACCTAGAACATGTTAAAAATCCTAAGTTTTCAAGTTGGTACAGGAACTTAATTTTAACCATCCACATTAAATAGTGACTGATCTTGTTTTAATCAAACAAAAAATAGTGTGTTTTAGCATTTAATACTGGCAATTTTCCTTGTGCCCCTGCTGAATTTAATCTTCCTTTTTTTAAACCCCAGTAACCCAGAGACCATGTCTTACTGTAGGAAAGAGTAAAAGCATATTCTTCAATGGAAAGTCCTAGCAGTTAATCTTCTCAAGGCTATACTTAAACTTAATGAAATCCATTAATTGCTCCATACTCAGTTTAACGAAGTCTTCCAAATATTTGCATGAGACATTGCCTTTCAGATTCTGTAGAACTAATCTTCCTCTCCCACACACATACATCAAAAAACATTAATACAGTTTCCACAGAAACAAGGGATTGCTTATAAAACAAGGTAGGATTTGGAGTTTGGATTGAGCTCTTGATTTTTTCAGAGGAGCAGGGCAAGTTCCTGAAATTGCCTTTTATTCTAAGTTAAAGCACAAAGTAACTCTGACATCTTGAGCCTAACAGTTGTCATTGTTTTTGTGATATATAGGCACACATTCCACACTGCATCTTTCCTAACACCTGGTTTGCCTTTCACACCTAGCCTAAACTTTAGAATCATGTGGTCTTTGCAATCAAGACAACCTCTTCCACTCTGACACTCTGCAATGCTCAGCAAACGGGATAAACCTTATTTAGAGTGTACAAACCTTTAGAGTGAATAATATTAGGAGAACTTTGGAAAAAATCACCAATTCTGTGTAGTGTCCCATCTTTCTTCTTAGCTGACTTTTTACTTAGAGTCGAGTCTTGCTTTCTTAAGGGGAATTCTTTGCTAGAAGACTGTGTAGTAGACATCTGTACAGAAACACAAGATCACTGTTTAAGGTGAAAGTTGGCTTCAAGTTTAATTTCATTCTATTTTACTTTAATGTTGACATTTTGAGCTTTGCTACTGACATCTCTGTTCATTTTAGTAACGATACCACTACAGCAAGCAATGTAGACAGCCTCATTTTACACCCAGAAGGAAAAACAGCTGTCCAAGTTTCACAGAATACATTTAAGGGCATAGTCACATAGGAAACAAATCGTTTCTTTCTTAAAAAAGGCAGATTCAAAGTTGCAGAGTATTTCATTAGGTAAGCTGCTCTAATTGTAAATAAAATCAGAGGAGTTTGATGGGGCAAATAAATCTACTGCCAACTCTGAACCTGCTCAGGGTATTACTGTGGCCTAAAATAATCTTTTTATAATTGCCATAAATGTGACACAAACCTTAGTATTACTTCAAAGGCATTGCCTATAACATCACATATTCTAATAGTATGCTCAAACTAGTCTTCCTAGCTATCCAATATGCAACATCCTTCCCTGTGAACCATTGCAAACTGCAGCTAGTACACTATGCATTCCTGGCAAAGACACTCTTTGGTTGGCTTATAGAGTTTAGTAGAAAGACAATGTGTTTAAGTGCTTAAAAATCCTATTCAAGTCCAATCCTAGATAAGGATAAGATACTTTGCTCCTTTCACAAGTCCACCTTTACAGAAAAGGCTAAACTAACTTTAAAAAAAGTGGAACAAAATCAAACCATTTTCTTGTTGCTTGTAGAAGGTGAAGCAGCCATAGCAGGTTTTGCATTTCTCTTGTTCTCACTTTTCACAAAATCCTAAGAAAAATCAAGAAATTAGAAGAAATTATAATTGATATCAACAATTGCCTAGACAAAAAAAGAAGCAATTCTGCACAACTGGAATGTAATCCCACAGATCAGAGCTGCAGACAGAAGCAAATGGCACCTGCAGGGAGAGAAAAATGCGAAGGGTAAAGAGAAAGTGCAAATCAGGAACAAGGGGCCAAAGAGTGGATCAGTTGAAGCCTGTGACCTTATTCAACACAGGCCAGAGATCCACCACCTGGGGGGCTGTGGGTTTTAAAGATACCCTAAATATATCCTTAGGACCTCAGTGAAAAATCAGAAGGTAAGGATAGAGTTTAAATAAATGATCAGCATAGTACATTGAAAAGCTGCACAATAGATTTCGTCAGTTAGTCTAGCTCGCACCTCATTCATCTCTTCACTCTTCCTTTTCCTTCTTGGCCTGAGCATTTTAACTGTAACTGGTAAGGTGCTGCCCTGCTGCTTCACCTCCATCTTATTGGGTTGCAGAGGTGTGAATTGGATTTCCATCTCTGGCTTTGGGAACCGACTAGTTTTTCCATCTTCTGCGGACACTTCGGCAGAGTCAAGGACAATTTCTGAATGGTCCTGCAAGTATATGGAAATTTTAAGGAAACAAGTTTTAAAATAACTCTGAGTTAAATACTATAACACATATCCTTCCCCAGTGGCTTGTAAAGTAAGCATTCTATTTTCCAGCAGTTAGATTTCAGAACACCTATAACAGGAGTGAAGAAATCTACTTGGACTATAGCAGAGCTTAACTCTTATTGTCTAAGACCCTTTTTTGTTAAATATCAGAAAATTAACATTAGTATCTATAATCACAGAACTTTCCTTGCTGAACTCAGCCTGATGTGTTGTTTCCAAGTCAATTTTCCTGAAGGGCAGAGACAGCTAGTCACAGTTTTCACAGCTAGTGGTAGCAGAATTGACATTATTTTCTCTGTCTTAACTGCTGCTTCTTAGGAACTGGGCAGTAATAGCAGCTTTTGCCAGAAAAGTATATCTTTCTCTAATTTGCCTTTAGGGAGCTTTTCCTTCCCCTTCTACACTAGATAAGTTAATTGTGTCTGTAACAAGGTCCACCTGGCAAGCTGCAAGCTAAATTCAGCTGTGAGACACTTACACATCACTATCTGTTCTCTGGAAGAAGAACAGGCATTCAGGTAGCACCAGTGCCTTCAAGCTGAAGGCCTTGTCTTGCTCAGTTCAGCCACAATCAGGAGTCTCAATACAGTTACAAGTCTTGCAACTCCTGTTCCAAAAATAGGCAAAATTGATCTTTGTGTACATTTCAAATATTGCCTTGTTGTGGTTTTAAGTGGGATGCAAGATACTGTTTTGTTCTTCTGAACCCCCATATGGGCTGGCAGCTTTAATCACAGAATCATCTCATCATGTGATAGGTAACATCATGAAAGTTGTTTGAGTTGAAATCCCCTTAATATTGACATAATCAAACTGAAACAACACTACAAATATTACAGATCCAAGTCTCTAGAACCTGGGTTAGTTAACTCGTTTGCCCCTCAGGTGTAAAAGTTCTATCATGTGTAGAGACGTAGTATGCTATTAACTGAAGTACTTATTTTCTCAGAGTGAATGTGGAAGAGAGAGAGAAAGAATGAACATGAACTCAGAACAGAACATGAAGTATAAAGGACTACAAAAAAAGTTTTGGAAGATACCCAAGACTATATTCTGAAAAAAACAACAAAACAGAGTTATTAACATATCATTAGTACTAACTGTCTATAAATTAAATCAACATACCTCTTTGTTTACAGACTGGTCAGTTTTATCTTGTCCTTCAGGTAAAGGTAATTCTGCCAAAGACTGGGGACTTCCATGGCTAATGTGTTGTTTCAATTCCTTTATAAAATCATCTTTCTCAGCCAGCTGTTTCCTTAATTCTTCTATATCAGTTTCCTTATCCTAATAAACATAGCAAAAATTGCCACAAATTGCAGGACTGTCTAAGCAATATATACACAAGCACCAGTATGATTACTTGCTAGCATCAGTTTTTTAACTGCAGGCTAAACCAGTCAGGTATGCAATACAAAGACAATAATTTCATGTACAAGTGGTCTCCATGTAATGTGAAAAAACATCTTATACAGCCTGGGGTGATGTAACACAAAACTTTTTTTTACATTACTTATTTAGAATTATAATAAGTTCATCTCCAATTTGTTCATGAAGCTCTTGGTGCTGTGAAACAGGGAGCAAATGTGATAGTTTTTTCATATATCTCATCCAAAGCTGCAATCAGTGTGTTTATTTGAATTACTAAATATTTTGAAACTCCAGTTACTATTACAAATTCAGTTTCAAACAAACATAAAGCTTTGCTTTTTAAATTAGCTGCAAAAGGGTTTTTGTTCTTAAACATTGCCATATTGAAACAGAGCCAGAATGCAAAGAGCAAGTAGATTGTTTTGCAGAATTAATGGATGACAAAAACAAACAGAAAGAATTGACCTTTTCTGAAGCCTTCAGTGCAGCCTGTTTCAGTTCCTCTATTTCTTTATCTTTTTGTGTGATGGCAGAGGCTAAAGTCTTGAGCTGTACTTCCAAAGCTTCTACTAGTTGGTCTCTTTCTTCACGCCACTCTTGAAGATTGCTGTCCTTCTCTACCAGCTGTGCAGCAAGTCTTTCCTAAATAGGGAAAGGGTAGGTTAGAATTGAACAACACTTCTACACAGTACCTGAGCTGTTCTGACGGTACTAACTACGCAAAACTGAACTATTTTACGGCCTTAGTAAACTTACGAGTCTATGTGGATCTTAAAAAGCTCACGTATAACTAGTTGCACTACAAATATGCAAAAGCATTAGAAAATCTGTGTTCTCTTTGTGAAGATAAATATTTTTTTTAAGAACACAACTCCTGTTTGCTCGATGTTTTTTTTTAGTAGCAAGTCCCAGGCAAGAAAAGTCACAGATAAAGTGAAAGTAGTCTTAATCTCCTAATATCCTCCTGTACTGATTGCAGGTCCAGAAAGTCATTGTTAATTACTTCTGGATGCAAACACAGCTTTAGATTGTAGAGGTAGATATAATAATTTCATTTGCTTAAGGAATTACAACCTTGATGCAGTCCAGGGAACAAGTAAGGTATCTACTTGTTCTGTACTATCAGTCACTCCAATGCTAGTCAAAACCACCAGCACATTGACCAAGTATTTTACTCTATGTCTGGAAAAAGCTTTTTCTATCAAATTCTGCTTTCTTTTTCTCTTCTTTTTAGTCTCATAAATTGTTCATTTCTGGTTTTTTAGGGTCTTTTTTAAGAAAATACAAGCAATAAATCTTATTTTCCAAAATAAGTTTTCTTAACTTCATTAAGGAGCAATTCATTTAAGCACAGGTTACTTATTGGTGTTTTACACCCAGAATGAAATTTGCAGACTTCATAGTGAGGTGGTAGTGAAAGAACAGAGAGGAACAGGCATTTTAACTTTCATTATAAGTGTTTTTATTTTATGATCCTCCTATTCTTTCTTTTTCATAATAAGAAGATCTCATCTAGGCTTTGCCATGTGAGAAAGTAAAGGAATTTTGACAAAGGCCAACTACCCTCAAGTGCTCACATTGTTAAGATCTGACATGAGATTTGCTCTGCATTAAAGACTTAGACAAGAAGACTCTGATGAGACATACAGTCACTTACAATTTCTGCTTGTTGCTTTACATGATGTTCTCTATCCCCCACAAACTTCCTCATTTCTCTGTTGCGATGGCTCTCAGCTTCTTTTACTTGACTTATGAGTTCCATTTTTTCTTTAAGCCACTTCCTTCTGTCAGCCTGATACTTTGTCTCATTTTCCTATTTTGATGAAACCAGAAATAAAACCATAGGTAGAGATAAAATAAAAAGACTTAAAATCCAGAATACCATTAAATAGATTGATTTCAAAAACATAACAGAAATACTTGCACAGTGTTATTCCAGTATATTCCCAGATGCAAGGATTACATTCCCATTTGTTCTTTGCTTTTGCAAAAAAAATTATCTATTTTCAGCCCTGCTTACTCAGATTGGCACATCTTCATGGAACAGAGGGTTTTTTTCCCCAAAATATTCTAGGTAAGTCACAAACACTATGAAATTTAGACAAATAGTAATGGTAGAGAGACCTTTCTAACTTACAAATCCCCAATCTTTTATGCTGCCCTAAATGAAATGTTAGAAAACTAACTGCTACTTCAACAAAGGCAAAGAATGAAGTTTGAATAGTAGGCAGAGATAATGTGTACCTAAGAATATCACTTCAATCCACAGCAACCTTGTCTCCTTTCCTATCACAAACCTCATCAGACATTCTACCACATAAGACAGAAGACACTTGTAAAGTTGCTTATAAAAGAAGTCTACTATCTAATTCAATGAAAATTACAGGGAAGTACTCAGCCTCACAGAAAGGGCTTACAGGTCATGCAGCAAGTACGAGATCTTAAGAAAGTTTTAGTAACTAACAGGAAAGAGGTTTGGAATGGGTATTGGGAGCTGGATTAAGACAACTGTAAGAGGAGACCAGCTGCAGAAGCACCATCCATGGTAGCAGTGTAGAGTAGGGAGGGTGCCCTCCATTATGGGGCATCAGTGACACTGTGCATTACAAAGATGCTGCATCCAGACTTCACTGCGCTGGTGCACTACAACATTTGGAGGAGGCTTCCTTCACCAGTGCAACAATTTGCCCTATCACACCTTAGCTCTTGAGACAGCAGTGGCAAAAAAAATTTAGACTCTTGAATGAAAGTTATGGCTTTAAAACTTGGTATCAATTATGTCATCACATTTTACCTTCAGTTCTTTTTGCAGCTTTAGTAATTGCTCATTTTCATTTATGGTTTTCTCCTCGTTTTTGCTCATCTTGTGCTGCCAATCACTATTGATATGGTTATTCAGCTCTCTGTATTTTTGCTTCCATTCTTCCAGTTCTAGTTAGAACACAAAATGAGTTCACATAACGTATAGTTTCAAAGACACATTTGAGCATGTTCACATCCTTCTAATAAAGTTACTTGGGTTTATCAGCTATGATCACAAACAACAGAAGTCTTTTAGAAAGTTGCTATGTGTTACGTAAAAGTAATGCCTAAATGACAAGGAAAACCAGAAATTTAAAGCAGATATCACAATACATTCAAAATAATTTTGTCTCCCTGCTCCCTTTCCACGAAGAGATTACCCAAAACTAATCTGTTGGTCTCTTCCATTTTGGCTTCAAGCACTTGATCTTGTTCAATCTGAGTCTGTTCTTGTTCTTCTAATGTCATTCGCATATCTTCAATGATTTTTTCCTTTGCACATAGATCTGAAAATTTGAAAATTCATTTACAGATGACCCTCCTCAAAGTTCCCACCATTCCCTTCTGAAGTACCTTAATTACAAGTCATTTCCCCATTCCCTGGGATCAAAAGCTCTATTAGAAAGAAACAAAGCATCTCTGCTGAGCTGTCCAAATAGTGACTCATTGACTCAATTTAGATGTGTGTTTCGGTGTTAGATGTCAGACTATGGTTTGTATGTCTATGGGAAACTAACCATTGTTCAACTGCTAAATGTTTATCAAATCTACAGAAATTAATATTTTGCTAGTTCATGCTTTTGTTAAAGCAGACAAATGCCAGCGTTTAATAAGTTAACACTGATACTTTCTTTGAGGCTTATGTTTGTTAATCTGAGATTGTGATGTCTTTGCTTACAAATACATCTAATAAAAGATTCAATAAAAATTGGTTCCTGACTGTAAGATTTCAATGTCCAAGTTGGAGCTTCTCAGTATTTTCAAATATACAAGACTCTCCAAATTCATTATCACCTGACCACTCATTATGTTGACATTCCATAGAGAAAAAAAAAGAACAAATAATGGATTTTTCTGACCTTTATGTGTTTTCTCATACTGTTTGGAGACTTCTTCCAGCTTCTCATTATTTGACTGCTCCTAAATATCACATTGAAAGCAAATTAAACAAAACTATGCTGAAATAAACATAAACTAGAAATTAATAGCTTTTCATTCTGAATTTAATAACAAATAACATATTTAAGACAAAGAGTCCAAATAAATAAGTTCTTCATATAGTGTAAAGGAGCATTCAAGCTGTTTAAAGAAATAAAGAGGAAGACATTACTACTAACATATCTACATGCCACTAATCAGAAAATCTGCAGGTATTAAGTATGTATTTACCAGGCAGACTGACAAATTGTTTTACATGATGTCCTGCATGAGAATTTCTTTAAACATCTTTTGTTCGTCTGTTAAAACTAATTTCAGCTGGCTACACTTAGCTTACAGAAGAGGGGGCAAAATTTCTCCTGCTGCTTGGAAAACTTGCCTCAGTAATGGATTAGTTAACAAAATTAAGAGCAAGTAAAATTTTGGAAAAGAAAATACCTTTTTAAGTTGCAGAATTGTGCGCTGTTTGATCTCTAATTCTTCACTAAACTGGTTTTTCATTTTCTCAAGTTCATTGACCTTTTTCCTCAGGGATTTCTCCTCAGATTGCATTGCACAGACCTGTAACAAGACAGGAAGCAAAGCTAAAAGTTGTAAGCCTTTTACAATCTCTGTAAGTTAATTAAATTAATAAGAGTCAAGTGTTTGCAATTATCTTAACTAAATTTCAGGGGCTGAGTAGGAAAGGCTGCTAGGGAAGACATTTATACTTGAGACCTAATTCTTGCAATGTTCTTTGGATTTTAAATCTTTGCAATATCTCATGAGATTCCTAGAAAACTTAATGCTTGCTAACTTTTACCAGTGTTAATTGTTACTATTTAATTATTCCATTTATTCATTTCATCTCTTCAACATTAACAGAAAGCTAGGCTCAGATTTTAAAGAGGCTCTAGAACTTAGTGCTTTCCTTTACCAATTAATCTGTCTTTCCCTCCCACAGATCAGTATTTTCCATGAATCTGAGGTCCAAGGCTTTGAAGTCAGCACAAATAACAATGTAAGACTACTGTTCTTATAAAGATTTTAAAGTCCTTCTCCATAATCAGATTAGCCATAGTTTTCACAACCCTTTTTTCAAGTGTATTAATAAAATTTACATGACCTTTCAATATCTGCATTAATCTGTGTTCTGACATCTGGTCTTACCTTCTAGTTCACAACTTCAATGGATATGTAACTTAAGATTCAATGTTACTCTAAACAGCCTTAATATGGATCACTTTAAACATTTGTAGCTTGAGATTTGGGGAAACGTGTTTTAATAACAGAAACCCAAGCCCAAACCTGCAGAAGAAATACTTTGCCTCTGGTTACCAACCTCGTTTTGTACTTGCTGAATTTGCTTCTTGGCATCAGAAAATTTCTCTTTCAAGTCTGTATATTCTTCCTCTTTCCTCTGCAAATCTTTTTTCAAACTTTGTACAAGGGCAGAGCTCTCAGAAAGATCTTTATGTAGCCTTGGGTTAGAAATTGAGAGACATAAATAACATTAGTGTCACACATCTCAAAAAACAGCTTTTACATATTAACTCAGGCTCTTTGCTGGTTTTATTGACAAATAGAATCTCAGATATATCAATGACAAGCTTTATAATTTTACTTTTGGGTTTCAATTTCTTATTATATGATCCTGAAATAACAAATTCCTCAGAGCCACTTCTGAATACTGAAAATTGCTTAAATAATATCTTTTTAAGCAGAGAGGTGCAACCACTTTTATTGTGAGGTGTTCTTACAAAGAAAAAACAGAAACAAGGTTAATATCAAGTATTTTTGAACTTGATACCTACATCCCAGTCCTTATAAGGGGCAAAATAAATAAAAAGGGAAAAAGACTACAACAGTGCAACAAGCACTGCTGTCACAAGTGCTACAAAGAAAATAATTAGTTTGGTGGGTTTATTTTTAAATGGTCACATTTATTTCAAAGACTTCGTAGTAAGACATCATGGATTTTTACTTTTAAACTAATTAATTAATAGAAGGGTTTTTTAGATTCTACATGTGACAATGCAATACAAAGTCTCACAAAATGAAAACCTTTCAAATCTTTGCAAGCACAGGGCTGAGGATCATCAGAGCTTCATGATAAATTGTATTCTGGAGTATATGTAGGTACCCACAGATATGGCACTCAAAAAACCATAGTCAGAAAGCAGAAGGGTTACATAGCATCTTTAAGCTATTGTTCCATAACTGCAACTTCTTTACCATATAGGAAATATATTTTTTCAGACAGATGCAATCTCATATTTATTAAAGATTTTATAAGTAGAGGCTGAAGAAAGTTTTAGCCTCCTACACACATTATTCATTTAAGTCCTGTAGTAGACTGTGTTCACCTAGAATAGCTATTACCAAAATCAGCTTTTCCTGTTTACCCCCTAGGCTTTCTTTTTCTTTCTTCTTTTCCCTTTTACTATTCAGTCCTTTCCAAAGAAAACACTGCCTGCTTTAACACGGGTCACTGCATATAACATTGATCTATACATAATTTCTTCCAGAAAAAGTATGCAACAAAACCATTAGAAATCCCCAAACACTTAATTTCCTTGTATGCTCCTGTTTCCCCACACAGTAGTTTCACATGATTTAGATGTCTATTTCTGAAATCATATACACACAGGTGAGGAAAACACTGCCAACAGAATATGCAAATGTAAAATTCAAGTATTAACATTTCTCAAAGAAACAGTTTGGTTAATCAAGTTTATAAACATGCAAATATGTTGTGTCAAAATAAACTGATGTTGACATAAGGGAGTTTTAACTAGCTCTGTTCTCAAAGTGCTGTTAGTGATCTGATTATTTACTTACAATTCTATAGATTGTATTTGCTCATCCTCCTTTTTCTCCTTCTGCTGAAGAGTGTGCTTCATGCTCTCCAAGCTGTTTGTCAGCTGCACAACTTCATCCTTCAGATTTGCTTCTTGATCAGACAGTTCTTTCAGTTTTTTGTCTGAGCTGGTGCATTTTTCTTGCAGAGCTACTGTATTACCTTCTAGGTTTGAAATAATAGATTCTTTTTCTTTGAGTACTTCTTGTAACTTTTTTATGCTGTCATCTTTATTCCTAAAAGCCTCCAATAGGGATTCAAGATCTTTTATTTTTCTCTTGTAGCCAGTAGCTTCCTCCTGAAGCTGTGCAATTACTCCCTGACCTTCTGCAGCCTGTTTTTCAAAATCCTCAGTTTTCTTCTGCATTTGCTCTTGTAACTGATTCATAAGATCTTTTTCCTTTGCAGACTGATGATTTGCAACCTCATTTAATTTCATTTTTAGTTGATTATTATCATTCTCAGAATCATGAAGACTCTTCTTTAAGTCTTCAACTTGTTGAAGTAGTTCTTGAATCCGATGACTTTTTTGTGAAGAAGCCCTAATAATAACTTTGCATTCTTCCCAAATACTGTCAATACTGCGGTGAAAGGAGTTCTCCTGTCTCAGATCTGCTGCAGAAGTAGTCTGGAACTGCATGGATACAGGACTCGTTTGAGCTGTCTGTGGTTCATCTTTTTGAGGGTCTAAGGAATCCTTTAGATTAACTAAGTCAACATCCATAGCATAAGACTCTAAGTGACATTTATACAGCTCATCTACTTGAGACTGCATTGTTTTAATTTGTGATACTTTATCCATTATATTTTGTTTAGCACCTGTTACTTCATTATTTAGCTGAATAATCTTTTCTTCTTGTTCCCTATTTATAGTTTTCTGTTTGTCCAATTCAGAAGCAATCTCCTGATACTCAGCTTGACTTCGCTGAAGTTCTTCACTTAAGCCAGAAGCCCTTTCTTCAGAAGCTGACAGCTTTAGGTGCAGGCTTGTTATCTGCTCCCTGAACTCTTCTTTTTTGTTTTTTTCTCTTTGACATCGTTCTTCCAGTGCAGCTATCTGACTTTCCAAGGTTTCTGTTCTTTCCTTCAGTGCTAGTATTTCTGCATGGGTCTCAGAAGCATTAGCCCTCTTTAGATCAAGAGAGTAATTTTTCCAACTCTCTCTCTTATCTTCTGAAAAAACCAAAAACACAGCAACATCAACAAACAAACGAAATACAGCTCAGGTTGATTAAGATCAATAGTACAAGTCACTAGCAATATCAAAGAGCAACTGCTCTATAGAAAATGGTAACCACCTGAAAGTCACATCCTCATATAGTCTTTTGGAGTCCTGAAGTAGTTAAAGCCCTCTGAGCCTCTTGGGTTTCTAGACATAATTTGCAGATAGAGGTGCTCCAAAGACTTAAAAAAGTTTGCTATGGCTCTATTCCAGCTTTCTACTCTTCACTAGTAGCAGAAAAATCAATCTAGTTTCACTTTATTATTTATTAACAGCCAGGAGGTAGATAACATTCATAATCATACCTAGTTTCCACCTTCACTGATTTAATAATCCCTTTAATAGAGCAGCAATCAGCCATCCTACATTTAGAGGAGCAAATGATATTGTATACTTCTCTGAAAAGTCTTATTCATATTTGATATCACCTTACTTTATAAATGAAGCTAAAAATCAGCATGAGTTTGTTTGTTCTGGGTTTTTTTGCTTAGTGTTTGGAACCTTCCTCTCTTCTTTTTTCAATAGGTTTCTAAACTAGATAAAAGGATAACTATTAATGTCCACACCTAACGTGTTGCATGCAAAGTTCTCCAAGAATGATTTGCAACATTTCATTCCAGCCCCAAATTTCCAGAAGTGTTGTACTAGTTTCAGGCTTCTTTTTTCCCCCAAAGTCATGAGCAATTCTGACTAAAATCACACGTATTTCATCACCTTCAGAACTGACTCCAGCTGTATTTCACACAAGTGTTTTAGAATCATTTAGATGCTCAATTTCAGTATTAAAATCAAGCTTGACCATCTCTAAGGATTAGGCTGTCACATCTATGTACTCCAGGGAAATAGTATGGATTCTTGTGAGCACTGCAACTACAGTAAGGTGGAGCTAGGCAATTATCTCACTTTGGGAGCATTAAGCACATAAGGTGCATGTATACTACATGGAAAAATCCTCTGAACAAATGAAACAAGTTTTATAGTCACTAAGTTTGAGTCACTAAGTCATACTGAAGCATCAGCAATAGTGTTTTGGTTTTTGCGTGATCAAAGTCTACAGGACAATTATTTCCTCCTGCTTTTCTGTACCTTTTCTATTCTAATTAGACATATCAAGAGCTTGTGCTAGATCAGCCACAACACTAGCTCTTACTTGAGCATATGAAAAGTCATATTTTTAAATCCAACAAGATTAATATCTTTGGATTTGGAGATGGTTTTCTCTGAACATCCAGTTGTGCAGGCCTAAGAAAACACATCTACATATTCATCACAGTGGACTGGAATTTTGCATACTTCACTAAAAGGGAGATGTGCTGAGGTGCCTCAAGACATGCTTTGTCAAACACACTAGTCTTTGACTTACTTGAACAAGCTGTACAAGTATCAGAAATGCCCTAATGGATTATGTAACATCAGCTGACCTAGCCCACTATTTTACTTCCTTGTGATACTGCTGGTAGGTCCAACCACTTCCTACAGAACTTTCCTGACATTGAAGAATTGAGACAGTATGTCCCTGCTTAACCCTTTCAGTATCTATGCATGAACCTGTCAGCTCTTATTTTGCCTAATCACACCTGGAATCTGAGAATTATCTGCCTCTCCCTCTTCCTAGGGCAGAAGTTCAATATCCACTCTATCATGTGCTTTGTTCATAGAATATCCTGAGGTGGAACAGATGCACAAGGACCATCAAGAGCAGTGCTGCTGCCCAGCTTCTTGTTCCCTAGTCTGTACATACATCCAGGGTTTCCCTATCCCAGGTGCAGAATCAGGCACTTGTATTTATTAAACTTCATATGGTTGCTGATTGATTGCCCAGCTCTCTGATTTTGCCCAGCTCTCTCTGCCTTTGAGGGCACTAACAGCTACCATCAGCGAACTTACTTAGTAGTATCCTCTCAAGTCCTTCATGGACTTCAGTGAGATGGTGAAGAGCACTAGGCCTAAGAAGCAGCTCTGTAGAACCCACTGGTGACTGGTCATGAGCCTGATGTAACCTCATTTATTATCATCTTTTGCACCATAAACTTAAACCGCATCTTCTACTACAGTGAGTGTTCCCTTGTTCTTTCATGACTGAATGTAATGAACAGTAGTCCAGTATTCAGTTTATTCACTTCAGTATCCAGTTTTCTGTGATCACGTGAATTTGACAATTCTCCTTCCACACTAAGGAAAGACCATTCCCTCTCCTTTTGGATATGCTTTACATAGTTCTGTGATAAACTGAAGCCAAGCTGTGTCCTGAAGTAAATGTTAGAAGCAGACAGCTCTTACAAATACATTTTGCACAAGTCCCATATAGTTTGGCATTGCTTATTAATACTTTATTCCACTGAGAAGAGCAGAGATAAAGCAAGGAAAGCAAAAAGATGGAAAGTGCAAGCATGAGAGCTGTACAAAATATGCCATCTGTGGACTTAAAATAATTTTACTTCCATTCAAGTGGAAAGCTTTTCTCCTGTGCCAGCACTGTCATCTAGACCAGAGCTGGTGTGTTCACATCATGCATTCAGAATGAAACATCAAGTTTCACAGCACACACTTTTTGACTGAAGAATCAGTAAATCATTGACACGTTTGATGTTTGCTTAGACAATTTTCAACAACTTACGCAGGAGATGCTACTGTCCCAGAAGTCCAGCAACAGCAAGTTTAGTACAAAAACAACTGTTAAGAAATTGCCAAACAACTACAGCTGAGTCTGCAAGTACATAACACAGGTGAGAAAAAGCATCAGAAAGGAAAGAGTCTAAAAACTTTTATTTAAAGGATTTAAGAGTAAGCAATAAAGGACCTTCTGCAAAATAGATATTTACAGAAGAGTTATTTCTGTTTACAGTTTAACATAGCAGATCTCCTCCTCAGAGCATAATGTTTAAGCTTCACAGCTTTTCGCTTCCGTTCTGCAATAGTAATAGAGGTTTTTTGGAAGACCCCCTGTTGAGTGATGGTAGAAATTGTACCTTTCTTTGTAGGTGGCTCTTCTTCCACAGTGGGCTTATTGCCAAAGCAACGTTTTCTTCCTACTTCCAATACTGTTTCCTCATGATCCTTGAACTGGCTACTTTCAATCACTTCATTAGAGGTTTTTTGTGCCTGTTTTCTTTTAGCGGTAGTCACAGTGTTGCCCTGTGTTAAAATGAGATGAATTACACTTTGAGGTTTTACAAATTGAGCACTTCAAAGGCTTAGTAGTTTTTTATATACAAATATTTTTACAAAGCTAAAGTGTATAGGGGTTGCCAGACAGATGAGTCAGTTACAGATCACTTACTTAAACCAAAAGCTGGTACACCTTCAGGTACTAATGAGCACTGTACAGAAATCAGAGCAAGAGACTAGGAAGCCTCAAAGACTTGCATGTAAGAGGAGTTAGTTTACCATCGGAAAACAATTTCAAGTGTTAAGAGTTGATGAAATTCCCGATTTGTTCAAAGGCCAAATAGCCAGTTCTTCACGTTCATCACTTTATCATGTTTGGTAAAGTTGGGAACTTGAACAGCTTTCAGCAAAGTCACAAATCCTTTGTCATGACAGATCTGATGCAATTTGAAAGCCTAGTCAGTTCTGCCATACATACTTTAGATATCTATTTGACTAAGAATAAGGTTTTTTACTTGCAAGATGGCAAGTGGCAAGCCATGTGGTTGCCAAGGACCAATTACTCATCTCAAAGTACTTCATTAAGAAACACAATTATAGAATAGACTTGAGGTTTATGGTCATGTTTGAAATTTCATGCCACACAATGTCATAGAAACACTGGACAATTAAAGCCTTGTCCTTGGAAGGACTAGTAATAGTAAGAAGTCACCACAACTGTCATCACTCTCAAAGCATTCATAGCATTAAAAAGTCATGCTGCTGTGGGGCAGAGAGAGAGAATACAAGCTTAAGTATGGTCAAAGCTTTAAGTTGACAGGGGAAGAGAGAAGTGGATCAGAATGCTGACTAAGTTTCATTTAAAATGTTCTCACAACTAGTTCAGGTTACGGGATATTAGGCTCAAAAAAAAAAAAAAAAAGCCAAAAAAACCTCCAAAACAAAACCAAACCCAAGAAATCCCTAACCACATGTTTTCCACATATTTTCACTTTTTTAACCCGTATACATTTAGCCATGCTAGTCTTCTGGCAGGAACAGAACTTGGAATGGCTAGTGGAATCACATTAAAAGCAGAGATACCCATGTCATACCTTCTTAGTTCAAACTCTGCTCAACATATGAATATTGCTCTTCCACTGAAAGTGTGCCTGCATGGTGGTGGGTGGAATACACCAATGTTTTTCTCATAACATACACAATCACTCTCCTTTTCACATTATTAGTTGCAAACTTCAATTAAAATTGACCTTTTGCTGGAACAAAAACTCCTTTTCTTCCTCCTTCATTCATGCAAAAATAGAGACAGTGATGCAATTCCTCTCCTCCCACTGTTTAAGTTCTCACAGTGAGTTTTGTTTTTCCCCAATGGCTCTTCAGTCTCAGAGCTCTCCAATAACAACTTCAGATCACTGCTTCTGAAAGTCCTATTTTCCACACACATCGCTGCACACATTTTTCTGTGCCTTCAGTTTCAATGCCAACTGACCCGCTACCATTTCCAGCAAGTAGCAATTATTTACAGAAAAATTCAATTTTCCGAAGTAGTTAAGTCCATTATAAGCACATATTAAGATTTTGTTGTATCAAGACAATTGAGATGTTTAAGACTTACATAATGTTTCGTGGTTTCTTCTGAATGGGTTATCAAATCTTGTAGTCTCAGAATAGCTTCATCTTTTTGCTGTACCATGTCTATTAGTTCCTGAATCCTTTTATTCTGTATATTCATTTTCTTGGAAAAAAAGAAAGAAAAATAGTTCAGTGTTAAGTTGTTGATCTATCCCATGCATTTGGAAGAAAAACAGTTAAACTACACTTGATATCAAAAAAGCTAGAAGCAACTGTAATAGCGTTTTAAGTTACGGGAATCTTGTATTATGGCAAATAATTTTGCACAAGGTTTTTTTTTTGAGAAAGTTACCTCAGTTGCTTCTTTAAGTTGCTCAGCAGACTCATCCAATTTCATCCTCTGTGTTTCAAGCTCTGTAACAGGAAGAAAATCTGCATCAAGTAATCAGCCATTACACAGTTTACTCAGTAATCCTTTTGAAACCTTGGGAGTTTTCAAATATATTTATTTTCAGGTTGATTTCTACTTATAAAGGACACATTTCAAAAGTTATTTGGGTTTCCTTGAACAGAATTGGGCCTTGCAACCTGTACAAAATACAGGTCATGTCAAGAGACTTCTGCTGAAATCATAATGAGGTACTGCTAGTTTTTCCATGAATGTTGCACAGAATACCAGAAAACACTGCACAGCAAAATGTAAAGAAGTGCAGGGATTACAATACAATCATGAAACCAAGAATCAAAAATTTTCATGTTTTACCCCACAATTCCAAAGTCTGCAATTGACAGATTTAAGTTTTTTCTGAAAAATGAAATAACCAAGGCCTGCAGAATTGTTTAACCTGAACATACACAAAACAATTGATCACCACTGCTATATATATATTTTGGCTTCAAAATCCTGCTCAACTGGATTATTGTCTCTATTCTACTGCAGTCAGTAATTTCTTTTTCATGTCTTTCACATCACACTTAGACCTAGCTTACCTTTGGTTTTATTTGCCAGCTGTTCTTTGGACTCAATTAGTTCAGTGGTAATTTCCCCCAGCTGTTTTTCAAGCCATTCTATAGTTTGCTGTGGATCCTCTAGGGACTCAATGAACTGTTTTGCTGCTTCTGCCTGACTTTTGATATCAGCAATATCATTCTGCAGAGAATCAATAACACCCTCAAAACCAACGTAGTTACCTCGCCCTGTGCTATGTTCTTCACCCTGAAAAATAATTTATATGCATTTAGAAATGGCAAATAATTACACAAAAGCCATTCTTTCTACAGGAAATCTGGAAGACTGTTACGAATTCAAGCACATAAGCACAGTCAATTCTGACTTCAAAACCATCTTTAGGGTTCATATACATTTTGATTGTCAGTTTCTGTCTACCTTCACACACAAAAGTCTAAAGTAGCTCTTACTTGATACTGGATTTTTATAACATTTAATGACTCACCATCATATTTTCTTTTATATCTCCGCAAAAACATCCCCTCCAAATTTATTATTAAAGCTAGTATTTATAAACCAATTATTGGAATACTGAATGAACATGGCAAACAGTTTTAGAAGGAATACATCTGAAATTTTCATGTATCAGCAAAGGCTTGTGAGGTCAATAAGTTCATGGTAACAACATGTTAAGTTGCACTCAAAATAATGACACAATATCTTCCCTCTGTTTTTAAAAACAAAGGGTTTCAAACTCACAAGAGACAACCTCAAGAGCCCAGTTATGGCTTACGTGTTTATATAATTCTCATTGCTTCAGTTGAAGCTACAACTGCCTTAAGAGAGAGGAAGCCTCTGTGACTACTCCATATATGGGGCCTAGGAAGTCAGCTTCAAAGATTTTGATCAAGCACTTAATACAATGGATTTTATATGGTAATTGCAGCTATCCCCCCAATTTCTTTGTACACAGTAGTTTTCCCTTTGTGTTGGAGAAATGTAGAAAACCCTGAAGATTGCTAAATGTACGCCCAAAGCACAGCAACCATGCCTATTAAATGGGATAAATAGATCTTGCTGAGGGTGCAGTTACACTGCATGCAATTTCTTGAAACCTTCTAGTTCTCCAGAAACACCATAACAAGTGGTTAGCAATAGGGACATTGGGGTAGGGGAGGGGCAGACACAAAGATACCGGAGGTGCAGCTTGCTCACTGCAAGGATGATCTTGTGATTTATTTTCTTCATTTGTATTTTTAGTATAATCCTTGACAAGTTCCTTGAAGATTTCCAGGCGTTTTTCAGAATTTTCTTCAAGCTGTGCTCGTTCACGAGAAAGACACTCCCTAGACCAGGAAAAATAAGTCAGCTAAAAGCTAACCAGTGTGGGATGTTAAGCAGTTCTGAGTACAGCTGCCTATTAAAAAAAAATGCTTTCTTCTTTATTTTGGCAAACAAAATACACAAAACAGTACTGCTACACCAAAACACAAGTGTCTTCCCCACACATCCCCCACTGAAGAACAGGGAGGCAAATAAACATATTATGGATAGCACTTAAATACAAGCATTTTTTCTAAGCATCTCCAGCCAGAATATCTGTTTGGAGTATCACTAAGACAAAGGTAACCAAACAATTTGAAAATGTCACTCTAAGAGAAGAGCTTTGTTGACAAATGTCTGTACAAAGAGCTCTACAGGAACAAACACTGTTTACAAATGATACACACACTCCTCTACCCATCCCACAGAAAAATCAAAGCCTTTCCTCACCGCAGTTTTCCTGAACTCATAGTCCAAACAGCAACTGGTATATAACAGATGCAGTAGACCACCAGATCTAGCAAAGAAGTGTGGCCTCTTAGGACCAAGAGAGAGAATCACAGAATATCCTGAGTTGGAACAGACCCACAAGTATCATTGAGTTCAACTCCTAGTCCTGCACAGGACACCCCAATAATCCCATCAAGTGCCTGAGAGCACTTATCCAAAGGCTTCTTGAACTCTGTCAGTGACCACAGTCTTGGGAAGTTGTTCCAGTGCCCAACCACCCTCTGGGGCAAGAGCCTTTTCCTAATGTCCAGCCTAAACTCTCCTGACACAACTTCACGCCATTCCCTTGGGTCCTGCCACTGGTTGCCAGAGAGGAGAGCAGTGCTGCCCCTCCACTGCATCTCAACAAGGAAGTTGCACACAGAAATTCTGCCAATTTATAACTTCAGCTCTGGCATTGGATTAGGTACCGTAACAATTTAAGAAATAAGTGAATCTACTTCCATTTTTTTAACCAGGAACTTGTGAACTACTTCAAGTCAGCTTACTTGAAATCTATTTCCCGCTCAGCAAAATAGTTGGTGAATTCTTGTATCACTTCTTCACGAATTTTTAGTTCCAGCAGTAGCTTATCCGTCTTCTCAGTAACAAGTTTGTTCCTCAACTCTTCTACAAGACTCAGCAGTGTCTGGAATTACCATTAGTATTAAGTTAATCATAAAGAGATAATTCCTCAGAAATGAGATTTTTCCTAATCCTCTAATACTACAACACTTTACTCTCTAGTTGGGAGAAGTTTTTCCACTTCTTTTATTAGCTTATTCATAAACAGAAGTATTCACTAGTAGATAGAAATACCTGGTTGGTACTAACACAGCAATTTATAAGTTTGCAGAGTGAGCATTTGCAAAGAACACCAAATTTGTAACAAAAATCCGTGAAGTCATCTTTAAAAACTTTAAGACCCTGAGAATTTCACCTTTTCCAGATGCCCATTTTCGGGGCAGTATTAATGAAACATCTGCAAACCAGTCTTTAGTCCTCTCTTCCTCCCTCCTTGTCTTCCCTAAAAGTGACTAAAATTGCTGCTCCTGCAAGAACAAAAAGAGTTCTCTTGTGCCTAGAATAAAAGGAACAATGTTCTGTACTGCTGAAAACCAAGTACCACTTTCTGTGCATTGGTCGTAAGATACCAAAAGAAGATCTGCAATTCTTACTGCTCAGTCTCTACTTTGACACATTTCATAGTTTTCCCACAATAAGCACTAAGTCATAAGTAATCCCACTAGTAGTTCTCAACACTGGATTTAGGTAGAATAAGGGTGACCAGGGGGAAAAAAAAAAATGAACAAAAAACCCCAACATGTGAGTGATGTGGGAAACCAGGATAACAATTATTTGCATCAATGCTCTACACTATGCTAATTCTTAAAGTAGCCCTGGCACATACCATATATTCTTCTTTTCCAACAACAACTTCATTTCCTTCGCTTTCCTGTGCTGCTTCTTCTCTTGACGGATTATTCTGTTCTTCCATCTCATCATCATCATCATCACATTCAAGCACATCTTCCAAGGTTCTGTCCCATAGCATAGTAGCCCTTTTCCTTGGGATTGGCATTTTACTGATATCAAGCAGTAATGATTCTCCTGCCAATTTCTGGCCAAATGACTGATCTTGGGGAAGAATAGATGTGTCCATAACTACAACCTACTCAAAAAATAAAGAACAAAGTCATAGGTATATCAAAGAGATACCTGTTGCACTCTCCTATAGGTGTCTTGAGCATAGCACTCCCCCAGCCTATCCTCTGTTCAGCGTCACTACTTGGACCAGTTTCCAGCTAAGGTACAAAGAAGTCACTTTATAGTCTAACCCTTCTTTTGATCCCAGGAATATCAAGTTTCACTAGCTGGATAGCCTACAAGAGGGTTGCCACCACCTCATGCACCAACAGCTTTCCCCATTTCCTGTACTTTGAGTTTCTAGTTGCATTACACCAATGTCACCCTTCTTGAGCAGCTCTATCACCCTTACACTCTGCTCCTTCTGGTATTGCATTTAGATTCATGCCTTTGGAATCTGGGCAGGTTAACTGTTAAAAAAAAACTCTCCCACAGCTTTCATTAAGGGTGCAGCACTAATGCCCAGCACTTTCCCCTTCCAACTTTTCTGAGTTATATCACTGTACTTAGTCCTACTCACTCTACTTCCACCCTCCCTCTGAAGCCTGTGTGAACACAAAGATGATCTTCAAAATGCTCTTTTGTGCTCAATCTATTCTATCAACATTTGCAAGTTAAAATAGCAGTAGTGTATGGGATAGCTAGAATTGCTCCTAGGTGAGAACATGTTATGACTACAGAAGAAATTTACCTAGATCACAGGGAATTACTTCCAACTCTAGTTAAGTGTGTCTTGTTAGCCTAGACATTTCGTAGGAATTATGAATTTTCATAATTCCAAAGAAAATTCCATACTTCAAAGGAAAAAAGTCCAAACAAAGCCTATTTAAAAGCTCTAGGTGATAAAGCCTCAGCAGGAGTAATTAGAAACATAATTGCAACATGACACAAAAATCCAGTAACTAAATTTGTATTCTTACAAGTGAGAGAACCTGCTCTTTAAAGCAATTCAAAGTTACTCATCAACACGATAAACTACAGCACACTTACTTTTTGTGCAATGGCCGAGAACCTTAGCACGTTGAGTGTTTCATCATACGCTGAAGCACATAGGCTTATGTTTACTATCATGAATACCTTCCCCTTTCCACTGAAGAATCCTTGAAGGAAATGAGTTAACTTACTTTCCCGAAAGGGTATATGCTGCTGCAGCCTTTAAAGACAAAAGAACAGATGAGCAGAAGTTTAGTAAATTCCAGTCAGTATAAGAGCTATCCTGCCTGAAGGCTCAAAAATACCTATAAAAGCAGCAATCTTTAAATCAGTTATAAATGTTTTGAACTAGAAACATCCATCTGTGAAGAAATTTTGTGCAGCTGTGGTGACGGCTGGTTTACATTTTATCTCAGATATGCTACAGCAATACAACCAATGAGAGCACTTACACCAAAAGTGTGTTCAACATGCTACATCAAACTACGCCTTACCTCTTTCTTTTCCTTTCCGCATCCATGGAAAGTACTTATCTAGTACTAGGCATGCAGTATGTAACATTATCAGGTCTCCCCCACCCAGTATCATACCTCTGAGAGCAGACAATACCAAGTGTCTAGGTAAGATGACAAGTATACACCAAATACATGGAGATACTTTTCAGAATATCATTCTTAATCCCCCAAGAAGTTTGCCAAGTCCTAAATCAGAGATCATGCCCTTGAATTTAACAGCTGGTGACGTAGTTTTTAATGCTTAGAGGAAATTTTATTGTAATTCTTAAAACATGACTCAACACACTTGCCATTGAGTAGGTTGCCAGCATTTTGGACACCTGACAGCTATTCAGCAACATGAGTAGTGCTACAGAAGACAGCAAGATAGTGACATGCCTGTCAGAACATGTATACAGCTCATAAATAGCTTTGTTGCATGACTGATAAACAAGAACCACTAAGAAATTCACTGCTTCCTATTCAACTTGCAATGGGCATCTATTAACACTTGGAGATCCTGCTTCAGGACATTTCTTTTATATTGCTAAAATTGCACATTATTAGGATCAGAAAAAGACATTCTGAATACATTAACAGCCCTCTATGCAGCTGCTGAGTTTAGTGTGTCCTTCCTACCCTGAAATGATAGGAAGATAAAAATTCCATAAATTCACAAAACAGAGCTAGTCAGGAACATACACTAGCAAAACTTTCATCTTAAGGTGTGATAGACTTTGAATAGGCTATCAAGTGTTGTGAAGTGAATGAATAAATGTTATGGAGTAAGCGAACTTGGCAAAGCACATCCAAGCCTGTCAAAAACACCAGACAGTTTATTTAACTTCTAGGACAGCAATACATCTTCAGCTGAGAATCTGTGGAGGAAGCAGTTCTTGGACTGTTACTATACAGCAGTAACTAACTGCTGTATATTTTACTATTTTACTCTTATCGAGCATAAATATTGGGAAGGCTTTCATTTGTCTGCATATGGTTAGCTAGATCAGGAGTATATTATGTTATGTGACTGTTTAGAAATAACAGACAAATTTTGTCAAAGAATGCACAGGCATGATAGCACAGCAATATCCTGCTGATGAGAAATGCCACAATGAAGTATGTAGAAAACTGAGTTCCTAAAGAAGTAATAAAAGGTTAAAAATTTGACTCTATGATACTAGTGACAAGGGTGTTTTAAACTTATTCCAAACTCTGTTTGAAAAGCCAGGCTCAGAAGAAGAAAGCTAAATTGCTAAAATCTATGATAGCATGTTTAAAGGATGTTACAATGTGAATGATTTAATTCAAAAGCAAGTTTAAAGATAACTTTGGTATATCAACAAGACTACAATACAGACTTCATAAGTCTAGACATCTTTTCTACCAAAATTTAAGTGTTGATTCTGTATATTTTAAACTGTAGCTTTTAAATATTATAGGCAATACCTAAAAATACAACCAGATCCCAATTCACGAAAGGACTTACTTTGACTGTTGAGAGTTCTTGAGTGCATTAATACACTTGCCTAGAGTCAGGAGAGAGCTATTTATATTTCCACTCTCTTTCAATCTGTCACCTTCATTGCGGGTCTTGGTATATCTTTCTGAACCAGCAAGATCACACAATGACAATCTGAAAGCAGACAAGGAAAACTAACTTTATATACGTTAAAAGATTCACAAATTATTTGCTTTTAAAAACAATCACTTTTCTTCATCCTTCTCAATGTTGCTTCCCTAATCAGATTTCCCACTATTTTATGCCAAATGTTTTCCCAACATGCTTCTTATTCCACCCCCTCCACCTCCTCCTCTTCCCTCTGGGGACTTGAATGAGTTCAGGTGTACAGCAGGCCAGCAGAACCTTGTGTTAAACAGAGGGGACAAGATGGAGAACAGCATTGCAACCTGATGGCTTGAGGTAGAGGGCCAAGTACTGTACAAGCAAAGAAGCCACCATACATGCATAAGCTCTACTAGTGAGCACTGGGTGCATAATGCAGTACCATTGCAGCATCAGTGTGGAACATGATTGACAAATTCATCACAAAAGACAGACTGTTCTGAACTCACTCATTGACTCTGGTCACTCGTGGTGTTCCTGAATCTTCAATTTTCAGTAGCTTAACCGTGAATATGCTGTGACTAAAAGGAGAAGTTGAAATCAGCAGAGAATTGATAAAACAGACCATTACTTTCAAAATATTTTTAGCCTCCACATCTGTTCAAAGTGCTGTTGATTCTGTCAATATATCTAAGCATATACTTTCAGACACAAACTTTTAAAGAGATATTTATGTAGCACTTAGGTTGCTTTTTCCCCAGACATTTAGATGGAAAAAAGCTAAGTGCTTTTGTATAGAGCATTTGATAAAATGCTGTTAGCTTCAGTACATGTTCATCTTATTGAAGGATTGAATCCTTTTTTGCTAAAACCATTGTGTCATGTACTGCTAAAGGACACCAAAACTGACACCTAGAAATCTAGATCTATTAAAGCCTCACCCCTTTCTAGAAGCCACAAGCCATATTTTAGTTTCTCCTTCCTCCCACACGCCATTCTATGCCCAAAGCTATTCAAAGTGTTTCTTACCTTCTGCTGGAAGAATTATTTAGTTTTGTGCATGCAATACTCTGGTGTTTCAATCCCAGTTTTAGAAGTCTAAAAGCTTCTTTAGAGTCAGAAATCTGAATCCACTGCAGATCTTAGGAAGAACAAACATGATAATTTTGTAAATAACATTACCAAAAGAAGTAATAAGAGGACAATGTATGCACACTAAGAACACTACGTTTACTTGAGGCATAGAAGCATTTTACTATGCCTGCTTCAGACAGAAGTTACATGATGACAAGCAAGATCAAAATTCCTCCTTTCAATAGGAAAGGAGGGACAAGTATATCACATCATTTCATTCAATTAGCACATTAAAATATGTTCCATCCAAGTGAACAATCTCAGCCTAAGCACTGAAAAGCCAAAATCATAAGGTCTAGTATGAGTAGAAAGCCCTATATTCATATTTAGCAAGACAGAATTGTACCTGGACAGCTTCTCTATTTTACACTGAAATCAGGAGGGAGGGAAAAGGAGGGATACACAATATGATGGCTGTATGTTAAGGTATGTACTAGAGTGAATACCTAGAACCCAATCAACAGCACTTATAATATGAGCATTATAGCCACTATTAAACTTGAGGTCACCAAAATTGTACTAATTAAAATACCAGCTGTGACCAAGAAAATTGTTAATTTTTTTCGCAGTAACATCATTAACAGCCTTATACTTCCAAGCTTTATAAAAATGATTATTCAAAAGCAGCAGGCCAACAAACACCTACAAGAAATCCTCTAGAACTGGTGTCATGATTGTTCAAAGAATCTGTAACAAATCAATGGGTTTTAAACCCTATTTTTCCCCATGACCTGAAACAAACATTGAATTGTTATTTTGAATTTTGTTAACTCCCTACAACCCAAAACAAGTTACACATTACAGGTTTGATTAGAGTACTGTAAAATGTACTTTGAAGTCAGACTGAACTCTGAAGTCTGCTTCTCTGCAGAAAATACTAAAAATCAAACCAGAAACAAGCTCCCAATAACTGTTGAGCCAATTATAAATACAGTTAAGAACCACTGGAGTCTTTTTTGGGTTTGTTTTTTTTAAATGGAGAAAAGCAAATCATTACCAAATTTGTTAATTGTTTTTGCTATTTCTCGCATTTCAAAGAAGTACTGAGGCAGTGGAGGCTTTTAAGAGTCAGTCAAGATCATCATAGTATGTTATGGGACTGATATGGACCTTAGAGATCTAGTCCTAACCAGTAAATACAAAACAGTATTAAAGGTACAGATACTTCTATGTAAGTAGATTGTTGCCTTTCACACTCGAGGTAGACATTTCTAGTGCCACAGTGAATGCAGTTAGGAGTTTTCTAATCCAAAAAAACATTATTACAGTAAAACCAAGTTTAAGTTACATTTGGCAATTTGCAATGTATTCTATTCACCTTTTACAAAAGAACATCCCTTGATGTCTTGGGCAAGGCGAAGTGTCTTTCTTTTCTTGTCATTTGAGATAGGAACCAGGAGATCATAAAAACACTCATTGTAAATCTCAAAAAATGAAATCCAGACAGAAAACTTGATAAAATTTCTTTCTGTTGTGATAGATTGTTCCAAGTTGTTTGAGAGATCTTCCAAATCTGCCAAATACAAAATATTACAAGTCAATATAGACCTCAGAAAGTGAAGGTCATTAAAAATTAACAAGTGAATATTGATATTACAGCAACCTTCACAAAAAAACACTTAACCCATACAAAAATCCATCAACGGTGCCACGCCCTTTCTTAAATGGAAGTCACACACTTAACTTACATATTTGCAAGGGACACCTGTTCTACTACTTCCTTTTCTACGTGTAAATTCTACCAAACACATACAGCCTGCTTAGAGTTATCCAAGTCTCTTCAATATCTTTAGAAGACAGAATGAAACTGACAAATTTACTTCATTTTGACTTTTTAAAGCAAACCTAGTGTTTAGGTAGTTTTTTTAAATGCTATAGTTAGGTTTATATAGTTACATACAGGTACCCTAAAGGCCTGTCAGGATACCACTAGGGCCCATAACACAAGTAGTACTACTTCTCCTTGCTATAGTTCCAGCTTATTTAATGTCTGTTTAGGTATCTTTTAACTATTTTATACTTCGATTTTCTGCATAGATAACTTGCTCACTATCCAATTCACAGGCAATTAGAAATGACAGGTAGTCACTGTATTCTTAACATGGGCCAGAAGTCAGTCATTGACCTTAAGAAAGCTCAGCTTTAATTGCAATTCTTTTGTATAAAACATACCCTTAGAATCAACAGGTGCTTTGCTGTTACTGCTAATCTGATGGTCTGCCTACAAGAGAAAACAGAAACTTTAAAATATTCTTGACAGTACACTATAAGTTACTTTTCTAACATCTCTGTCATATTACTAGATATGAACACAGCATAGTTGCAATATGCCAATAGAAAGATCCTGGCTACACATCATGTCTAGTTCAATGCACCTGTACACTGCTATTGAAAGGGCTGTTCATACCTTAACACTTGTTCCTGACACTTCTCTTACATCAGTATTTAGCATTTCAGCTTGCTGAATCAGAACCAGTCTAGCCACAGAAAAACAGAGGCGTGGGAGCCCACACAGAAACAGGGTGATTCAACAGGATGATTTGCAGGAGTCCAGCTGCAGTTTACACATTACTCTTAACCTGGTAAATCTAGTGTCCTGAACTTTTTGCTATTGGTATTTTGCTAATACAGGATTTCATATTTTACAGCTTACTAGGCCAGCCTGTAGAAACAGAGGTAAATGTAGAATAATAACTCGTTCACTTAAGAAATTAAATAAGCAACTTCTAGCTTCATGAAACATGCTTGAAATAAACGGTAGAGCTGAAATAAAGTCCAGGTTTTAGTAAGAGAAAGAAAATTTTCTTCTGCTGAATTATTTTTCAAAATAAGTAAACCAGATTCCTACAATTAGAGTCCATGAGTTTCATGCTCATATATTCCCTTCCCAGTCTTAGTTTTGGTTAGTTAGGTTTTGTTTTTAGGCACAGAACTGCATGTGAAAGTGCCTAAAGAAGTGAAATTCAACTACCAAAACAAGTATGCTGAAGAGAACCAACATGAAATAAAAATCAGGTGTGGTCTGGCTCAGGTTGTTTTAATGTATTGTCAAGAGCGTATTTCATAAAGTGCTCCTGAAATAATTAAGTATTTATGCAATCAAAACTTTCAGGTTTAAGCTTTACACATATAAAACACCCACCCCAACGTGTCTCTTTTGAAGTAGATGCAAACTTTGCAACTAAATTTATAAGCTTAGGTATTTTTATTACAACCACAGTTTTAGAAACTAGAGGGGACATACACGTGCAAACACACCACAGGTTTTTCTGAAGCCCTTTCTGAAGGCTGCCAGAGCAGGATTTAACATACGCCTGTGCTTCTGAAGCGGAGTCAAAGAATTTTGCTGCCACCTACCTTCCACAATAGAGCTCAGTTAACTAATGGATAAAAATCCAGATAATAGATATATTCCATCCCACAACAGCCATTATAACCCATGATACCACTAGGGAAATGTTTAATTCATTTAAAAAAAAAAAGCAAAATAGTCCCTTTCTAGTGCCACATCTTAGCATATGCTGGGTTCTATTTTATGTTATTCCACTCATTTCAGAACAAAGACACCAAGAAAAAGGTATGCTTATGCCAAATGCAAATACCCCAAAACTATAATTGGATTAAATAGCTTTAGAACTCCAGGCAGCTCATAAAACTGTAGTGTTTTTCAAACTTGAAGAGGGGAACAACCTCAAAATCATTATCTTAAGTATCCTGAAAGACAGTAAGTTCTTTAAAGGATCAGACCTACTAGCAACGCCACAGATAGAGAGGCTATTTGCATTCAGTTTTTATTAAGCACCAGTAACCCCCAGAGGATAAGTTGTCAGTGTCCAAGCTACAGGGGACAGAACAAAACAAAAAAGCAAAACAAAACCAACCAACCAGAAAAAAAAAAAGAAAGCAGCTTAGGAGTTTACATCCCCATCAAGTTCAGCCCCAAGACAGAAACCCACTGGAGAACAGGGTTCATCAGCTCTACTGCTCACTTTACTGCTAAATAGCTGGCTGACAGCAAATAGACACATTAATGCTTAAATACAGCTAGTCTCTTCCCACTGAAAAATGAAGAACATCGAGCTATTTCAAGACACATGTACTCATCAATACAGAAAGAAGTGCTCCTCTACCTCTTTTATTAGGCGAAGTAGTGAATTTTTAATAGTAGTTTCTTCTCTCACTTGGCTTTCAGTCAGCTTTACATAATCTCTACACCGATGGGGTTTGATATCCATTGCTGGGTATAGCTTTCCTTGAATACTTTTGAACAACATATCCATAGTCCTTGGCAGAATACCAACATCATCTTCTGTCCCTGAAAAATCATACAAAAGATAAAAACTAATAAATTAATACTGTGAACAAGGTATACAGATGAAGACAAAGATAAATCTCAAGGCATTCATGAGGAATTTGGAGGTAACTGACTGCATGAAGCAGTGGGGTTTGTTTTATTCTCAAGGTAACAGAAATGTCATTAGTGTTTTGAAAAGTATTTGGCTTTCAGCAAGAGTTCATGCTCTGCACCAGTAAGAGGCATAACATAAACCAAACACTGCTGGAGTATTCTGCAAAAGCTTTGCTTTGAGGGGAAAAAAATAAACCAAACAAAAAAACCCCAACCCCATGACCAACAGACATAATAACGATTAGCAGTTTTCCCATGGTATTTCATAGGCTGCCTTCACTCTCTCTCAAGAAAGCAATCTTGAATTTAAAGTCATAACTGATCTCTCACCACAGTCCTGTACTAAATCCACAGACCCTACAAAAGGAGTTCTAGAAGCCTTGTGAAGACTCACTCCTTTCCCTATCCAGACCCTTCTCTCACAATATACTACTTTTGCACCTGAAAGACAAAAAGGAGTTAAATAAAAACCTCAGTGCACACTTGATCCTTCTCAGTCCAAATGCAAGTTTAAAAAGGGTTCACTTGAGTTTGATTTCTAAATCAGAGAAAAGAGAAGAAAGGAAGAGAGACTGTTTTCCTGTCTCAAACAGATAATTTCTCCTGCTCTTAAGACAGATGGACATTTCCCAGTTCCAGTGCTAGCTGTGTTGTCTAAATTAGAACTCATATACAACCTGGTTTGCACTCAAACCCCAATCTAGTAACCAAATAACATACTAAAGAAGTGCTGCATTACATTGATTTCTCATCTCCTCACTAATTTGTTTATTTCAATGCCACTTGTAATTCAACCTAACATGAACAAAGTAATAGTCACTGGTGAACAACAAACACTCCTAAAAAACTGCTTCATCCTTCACTTAAGTCCTTTGCCATTGACTGAAAACAAGCTACCATGTAATGCCAAAGTGGAATAACAGAAGAGGAAATCACAGCACCGAGTAAGCAACATTCTGTCCTGCCAATTTTTATCCAAGTCCTAAAAATATAATACCATGAAAAAACTTCTTGTATAAAAAGATGTCAATCAAAAATTCTTGAAAAACCACACAATCTATCCCAAACTAGTCAAATATTGGGAACTGTACGCTTCAGGAATTTCAGGATTTTGTTATTTACCTGCTATTTATTAGGACAGAAAAGAACATCCCATTATTGCCCCAAATAAATGATAAGTGAAAGTACTGGCAGTAGTCTTTAGTTATAATCCACTTAGAAAATAATGTCACTTCAATAAAGATCAGTTTCACATAGCACAAAGCTCGTTGTCCTTCTACCGCTTCTTTGTGCAAAATAAGTGATAGGGGAAATGGTTTCCATGTGAATCAACCTCATTTGTTACAATGCTTTGAAAAATAACTAAAGAATGACATCTTCTGACCAGAAAGGATATGGAGCTGTAACAGAACAGAAATAGTGCACCAGGCAACAAGGTCTCTAAGGATATTCTTGATAAACTCAAATTCCAGGTAAGACAGATATACTCTGAAGTATTCACACATCTTTCAAAGCATTTATTCTCTGCCTGCAATTGAAACAGACTCTAATATTATTCCTTATTTGTGTATATAAGATGCATAGAACTTTTATACTAATAAAATCTCCAGAAAATACTGGTGTGGAGTGACCTACACACTTTTCATATCCTGTTATATAGCACATGTATTTTCCTAAGTCTCCCTCATCCCTGGCATACTAGAAACTTGGAGGGAAAAACAAAGGTCACACACACCTGGTTGGAATTATTATAGCCTTACAAAGCAATATGACTGTTTATGTAAACTCTGGCAGTGGCTCTGCCTGTCAGGAGTTACATCTGTTGTGGAAAGAGACTTTCAAAGATTATTTATTAATATTCAGGAGAAGCCAATGTATAGGGCCTACAGTTAAAATAAAGGTTATAATATTTCTGCTGGAATCAATCTTCACTTGTGGAAAAAAAGGGAAATATATTCATGGAGAACTTGTTTCTATTTATACCTTGGAATGTGTAGGTTTTCCCAGCATTTGTAACACCATAGGTAAAAACAAGACGATTATATCCATCCAAGAAATCTTGCACTGGTTGCTTCATGGTACCTTCAAAGAATTCTTCTTGAGTTGTTTCAGGTCCAAACACCTGAGTATTACGAAGAAATATTTATACTTTGTTTAAGCAATCATTAGGAGACTTCTAAACAATTCTTTTAATTCTGCTTAAAGGCTATAAAGTTTTAAAGTATAGTTTGCTTGGTAGTAAATAAAGTTAAACAACCTGTTTCAGGAAAAAATTTATAGCTTTTAAAGACAACTTATTTACTCGTGAAAAAGTGAACTTCTGGCCAGCAGTTTTTTCACTTAGTCGACTCAAATAACTCTGGGGAGGCTTCAGTATGATGTCTGTTGAATCTTCAAGTGAAATCCAGTCCTATTAAAAGGAAACAAGCAATGCAAACATGAAAAGCATACAGAGTTCAGCCTACAGAGCAAAAAAACCCCAAACTAAAATCATAACCTCCTCTGCCCCAAGACAAAGTATTTTTAAATTAAATATCACACCTGTGATCCATTTTCTCTTTCCAGTGGTGTAAGTGGCCTAATACGTAGGCAAACTTGTATGTGCCCCTTGGACTCCAAACTGCTTCTCTTAAAAAAATAAGAGAAAAAAAAGTTAGAAATTTGATTCTTTGATAACTAGTATGTTAAGGCAGTTTTATTTCACCAGGCTGTTTTGAACACTTGTATTAACAAGGAAATCAAAAGTAATTCACTGCATCAACTTTTACAAGTGCTTAGGTCCCTGTAGATGTTTGCTGTGATAAGTTACTCTTACAGCACATATATACACACACTACATTCAGGCCAACTAGAGATCAAGGACGACACCCACAAGAACATTCTATGAACTGGCATTTAGCCTCATTCACAGAAAACCAATGTGCCCAACAGGGCATCTGTGCATTGCCAAAAGCTTTGTCTCATCCTATGCGTCTCTCCCAAATTACAAACATATCAACGATGTTTTTCTTCTTCTCTGTGAAATTCCAACTATTCCTGCCCATGAAAGGACTCAACTCATCTTTTAAAAAGTAAATGTCCAAAAAATGCAAACATTGAATCTTTCTCACCTGGCTGACATCTGAGCTTGAAGAAACCAAAGAGAATTCAGAGGAGAGATCTGTTTTAATATCTTCCACACTTACTGGTCCTGCTCTTGGAGATGGCTCAATGCTAATAATATAGGATGGTCTGTACAATTTATCATTATCCAAAGTTGGTTCCATTCTGCAAGATAAAACAAAACTATTCTGTGTTCTCATCATGTAACATAGAGCTTCTGAAGTCCCTTAGAAAACAAGTCCATTTGAAACTGACAATTGCAATTTACTTAAGCAGAAAGCTTTCTTCAGCCTAATCATATAGGAAATTTCTGATAGCTGGGGAGAGGGTCTGCAGGGGTTTGCATCATAAAGATTCAAGAACAGACATTCTTCCTTAAACAAAACAACTGCTTACCAGGGAAAAGCCTCATACATATACCACAAATTCATGACTGAAAAGGAAGATACAACTTTAAAAAAAAAAACCCAAACTCATCATAGTTCCACATCAACTTCATCATTCCATTATAGTGTCCATTTCATATGTCATGGTTATCTCTGTAGGACCTGATAAATACTTGGTATTAAGCTACACAATGTAGCATAATACAAGAGTGCTCAGAAACATTCCAAAGACTAATTGATAGTTTTAGTTACTAAAGGGGCACTAGAAAATTAGTTCATTAGTTCTAACTTCATGCCAGGGCACAAGTTATAGTATTGCTTTTTAGTAATTTACAGATCAGCAATTAATTTATTAACTTGTGTTTAAATTATTTTTGTGCATTTCAGAATCTGAGCAGTGAAAATTCGCTATAAAAACAAAGTAAATTGATTCAGTGATGATAGACACGTAAACTTCAAAACAACTTTTAAAAACTGTATTTAGTTTTAAAATATCTGTATATTTCGCCTGCACTTGACTCTCCTATTGCCTTTTCCCGCGCTATTACAGGTGGGACACGACAGCTTTTGTTCCAGATTAATTTTATTAGTAATTGCCTGGTGATTATTTTAGACTACAGCAGCAAGTCATTTAGCAACACCTACCACATGATCTCCTACAGTTTTGAAGCTTTGGACATAATGATTCAATGGTCTTCTAATGCTACATTCTCATGCTTAGTTTACAGCAGAGCATTTAAATTGTTTCTCTAAATACTGGTGGAGAACATGCAGTGTTCATTAAAGCAATGGACAGAGCAGGGCTGGTTCAGCCCCTTTGCTCAGGAAAGATGTTTCTTGCCTACCTATTAATCAGTCCTATTTTTATTTCCCTCAGCATAAAACCAAAGACATGTCTGTACTTCAGTCTCAAAGCACTTAACAGCTCAGTCTTCCTATCTGGGCTGCAAAAGGCAGACACAGAACTTAAAGCATCTAGACAAACATCACCAAGCTGCCAACGAGATGAAACTACACCTAAACTCCCCATCAGTGTTTACTTTCATTCTTTTAATCTATACTTTTTATTTTTGTCAGACAACTGTATGAAAACCAGGAAAAACCTGGCCTGAAATACAATCACTGCTTGAACAAAGACTTTTTCACCCTGTGAAAAAGCTACTACTGGAAAGAAAAATACCTGGTGCTCTCACAATCCAGAAGAGTTACTCATAAGATATACAAGGCCACACTGCAGAATTCTTATCAGTCCTTAACAGGAAACATATTTGTTAGATGACTGATGTTTTGTTTGCTTTAATACAAGCTTAAAGTGTGATTTTTCAAGAATATGCTCTCAATCTGTACCTTTTGTATGTTAGAGGCAAAAGGCAAACATTAAGCTATGCATACCAAGGTGAAACTAGAAGTGTTTGCACAGGACATTGCTCAAGAGTGGTAACACTCAATTCCTGACAGCACACAAAGCCCGAGGTGCAGACTGGCTCTGTGCCTTCACACTGTGTCACAGCACTGTAGTTGTCTCAGATATTCTGATATAAACAACTGCATTGCCTGGTTGTAGGCCCCAAAAGGTACTTGTATACTGGGATGTGTTTTAACTCTGCTAACCACGGAATTAGAGCTGTAGACACCCTAAGAGAAGAGGATCCTCAGTGGCACATACACAGCCTGTAGCACTGCAGACAGCACAAGGAAAGGTAAGAGCAGCTCCAAACCACACAATAAGGCTGGCAGCCTTACTGTGAATGGTGCTTAGATACTATTGTGTGGACCTGCTGAAGTAGTAAGTAAATTCCATTGGTAGCTTCCTAGAGTCATATGGATTTAATTACTGCATTCCTTTCTATAAAGCCCTAAAGCATCAGCCCTGAACAAAAACTTAAAAGAATTAAAAGTTGGCACATCACACCTATAATACCACAGGGAAAAAAAACAACAGGAGAGTAAAGTGCAGACAAAATACACTAATATTCTGAAATTAAAAGGACGTTTCTTAATCAGCAATGGGAGAAATACTTTCGGCATTATTTTCAAAGCAATGTCATAGTACTAACCAGATCTCCCCTTTTTAGAACAGTAGAAATGTACAGGAAATTTACAGAATTCAGTAACAGAAGCCACCATGAGTTTCTCTTTAGACTGCAACAGAATTTCTTTGAACTTTCACAAGAAACGTCTGCCTGCTTTAAAGCTAAATAAGAGAAGTGACTTGCAAGCAACTAATAACTGCCGGAAAACTAAAAGCAAACTCTCCTCTCTGCGCCGATACCTTTCACCGCAAGGCTCCGCGCTATTTCCCTGTTCCTGCGGGACACAACCGCGCGGCTCTGCAGCGTTACCGGCAGTAACACCCAGACGCGCCCGCACCGCGCAGC